CCAAATGTCTCTGGCCATGTGTCCTGTGAGCAGCCCCAGGCAGCAGAGCAATGGGCTGTGGGAATGGCACCTGCTGAGCTCTGGTGTCCCATGCCAAGGCAGTTTGGCACAGCCCGGCTCCGTCGCTCCAAAAAGACTCGCTCCGTGTTTGCTGTGGCCTCCTGCCACAGACTCCTCCAGTTCCAGGTCTGCCATGTCCCTTCAGGTGGCCATCAAGAAAATGAGTCTCACAGGGCAGAACAGGCAATGAGCTGTGAATGAGATACTGCTCCTGAAGGACAAGAAGAACCCCAACATTGTCAACTTTCTGGACAGGTGAGTGCTTCAGCTCTTATCCCGTGCCCGGGCCCTGTGTTAACCTTTCCTGGCATCCGTAGTCTGTAGCCTGTTTTGGAAATGCCTGAGCCAGCCATGTCTTCCCAAAACAACAGCCTGGCAGTTCACTCCCTCCATGTGCTTTTGTTGCTTTGGTTTGCTTTTTCCTTCAAGCTGACCCCGTTTGCTGTGTCTTCCAGCAAGTGCTGATAAACCACAGCAGAAATTATTTTCCTTGGCTTCTTCTTCCCAGCCCTTTCCCATTGCCACAGATGCCAGGAAGACCAGGCTCTTGTTTCCAGAAATGCCTCGTTTGCCCATTTTTCACTGGCCTTGCCTGTTTCTGAAGGGACTTTCTGAAAGGGTTTCTGACTGCTTTTGTCCCAAGTGCTGCACGGCCTCCTCCCCTGGATAACCCTGGCAGTTGTGTTGCCTTGTTCTGGAGGGAATGGTGGAACTGATGAGTTCAGAAGCTGAACCAGCTGGGGCCAAGTGTTGTGGTTCCACATTGATCTGGGCTGTTGCCAAACTGCATTTTTCACCTGCTTGTCATCTAAGGCCTCTCCTTTCTCACAGGTGTCTCCTTCTCCTTCAGACTGTGCAGATCCCAAGGGCTGGGCAGCCTGGCAGGAATGTCTCTCCATCTGATTCTGTCCTCACTGACAAGTGACCTGGAAACAAAACTCCACTCCAGGCTTTTCCATGGGGGAATGGAGCACTGCACATTCATCTCCATGCCATTGTTTTCCTCTCCCAGCTTCCTTGTTGGTGGAGATCTCTGGCTGGTGATGGAATACATGGATGGAGGAACTTTGCAGGACGTTGTCAGACAGACACGCATGGCTGAAGGAGAGATGGCAGCTGTCAGTCGGGAGGTGAGGGATCCTGCTTGTCACTCCCATGCCTTGGACACGATGGTTCTTCCAAACAGCTGTGAGAACAGGAGTGGCTCCATGCTCAGGGCTTTGTTTCTCTGTTGTTTTGATGAGCTGGAGAAGAAAGAGCCTCTGCAGTGAACGGCCTGCCAGCATCACTGCACTTCTACTCTGTTCTTGCTCTCTCTCCTGCTCTTGTGGTACTCTCTGTCTGTTTTGGATTTGATTTGCTGTTCTCAGCTTTGCCTTGAACCGTTTGCCTGGAGCTTGTGTGCACTGCACTCCTGGCCTGTCCCAGCAAAGCTGCTGCTGGCAGAATTCTAAACTGTCCTTTCTTGTGGGATTTATTCCAGCCACTGGTTTTTGCCCTCATGTTTCTTGTTCTCTCCCAGTGTCTGCAGGGCCTAGATTTCCTCCATTCCAGCCGGGTGATCCACAGGGATGTGAAGAGCTCCAACATCCTCCTGGGGATGGACGGCTCTGTCAGGCTGGGTGGGTGTTCCTGGCCAGGCACGGCGCTCCCGGGCTGCGGCTGTGGGGCTGCTTCCCAGTGACGGCCAGAGCCCCACAAGGGCTGCTGGGGGCACTGCCCGGCCCTGCTGCCAGCTGAGAGCGGCTGCCCGTGCACAGAGCTCAGCAGAGGAGCAGGCTGTCAGCAGTGACTCTGCTCTGGCTCTGGCCCTTCCAGAGGGGCAGCAGTGGGAATCTAAAGCTTCAAGGGAATCAGTAACAGCCACTGCACGAAAGCTGAGGCTTTCTGGAAGGGTCCGCTTCCATCTTTCCTTCGCTGGACTTTTCCAGCTGACTTCACTACTGCATTCTCAGGCTGAGGGTGGGGAGTCTTTGTGCTTGGTTTCCTCATTGCAGCTGCCTTTGACAGTGTTTGTTTCTGTCCTCAGCCGATTTTGGCCTCTGCGCTCAGCTCAGCCCTGAGCAGGACCAGCGCAGCTCCATGGTGGGCACTGCTCACTGGATGGCCCCAGAAGTTGTGACCAGATCTCCTTATGGCCCCAAGGTGGACATCTGGTCCTTCGGCATCGTGACCATCGAGATGGTGGAAGGAGAACCTCCTTACTTCAGGGAAACGGCGGCCATGGTAAGAGGCACCAACCCCAAATCCCACCCCCAAACCCAACAAGTTTTCTGCAGGAGCTTCTAAAAGAGGTTTTGCGAGATGATTTCCCTCCCGATTCACCTCACTGGGAAACTTGTCAAAAATATGAAGATGATGGTTTAACATCCCCAAAGTCTAACATATTTATTTCCTAGTCCAAGCTACTTTGTCCATGTCACCAAGCCTGAGCTTTCAGCATCACAAACCTCCTGTTTCTTGCCTGGCACTTTCTGGGATGGGGCATCAGGAATGCATTTACTTGAGTCTCAGTGGCACTGCAGAGATGCACTTGATGTAAGAATCCTCTGAAATAACACAGGCAGACCACCCAGACTCTTGAAAATGGCCTGTAAAGCTGGTGTCCACATTTGGAGAAGCAAAATGTGCTACTTCTGATGGAGGTTCCCACTAACAAAGCCAGCCAATGAAACTGGCTCTCCAGGCGAGATCATTTGGATGTTGCGATGGCCGTGGCAGCACCGGGGTTTGGGTTTTTGGGTGGCAGAGAAAAATGAGCTCTGAGCAGCATCTCTGCCAGGGAGGCAAGTGCCCCTGGAGCTGGGGCCGAGCACCTGGGTCGATGTGAGCACGTGTGGGTGTGAAGGAAGCTGGCAGAGCGCGGAGTTTGCTTTCCCCGCAGGCTCGCGCTCTGATCCGGCAGAACGGGACCCCGCAGCTGCAGGAGCCCAGGCGCCTGTCGGCTCTGCTGCGGGACTTCCTCGAGTGCAGCCTGGAGCCGGACGAGGAGCGGCGCTGGGCTGCCCAGGAGCTGCTGCAGGTGAATGCCAAGGGCTGCAGGGGAAGCAGCAGCGCCAGGGAGGGGTTTTCTTCTGGGGCCCCCTCCCATCGTCTCCAGTCTCGCTGCTTTCCACACGCAGAGCCAGCAGAATCCTCGCCTGCTCTGCCTTGGCAGGCTCCTTTCCAGCTCACCTGGACCTGCTGCCCCACAACGAGCAGGGACATCTTCCAGCAGCTCAGGGCGCTCAGAGCCCTGCCTGACCTGAGCTGGGATGTTCCCAGGGAGGAGGCACCTCCCACAGCTCTGGGCACCTTCTGCCACTGTTTCCCCACTCTCCTGGTTAAAAATTCTTCCTTAGATCTACTCTGAGCCTGCTTCCCTCTCCTGAGTTTCAAACCATTTCCCTTTGTCCTGTTGCAACAGAGCCTGTGAGGAACTTGACTCTGGAAAGTAACAGTTCATTTCTTTCTTTTCTATCCCTTGGGCAGCACCCATTTTTATCATCAGCCAAGCCTCTCTGCAGCCTGACCCCTCTGATCACTGCAGCCAAGCAACGGAGGGAGCAGCGGAGGAGATGAAGCACTTGAGGACAGCTTCTTGTTACCCTAGTTAGCACAACTAGTTAGTTATGGTAGTTAGCACTGCTAGTTGGTCATGGTAGTTAGCACTGCTAGTTAGTTATGGTAGTTAGCACAGCCTGTTGGTTATGGTTCTGATGCCAGCCTGTTTGTTATGGCAGTTGTTTGAATAAAAACTCTCTTAAACCTCAGCTCCCTTGAGGTGTGCCTTCCTTCTCCCGCTGTGGCCCAGCTGCCCGCAGCAATGTGAGGGGAGAGCGGGCCCAGCCTGGCCCAGAGCTGAGCCCAGCAGAGCCCTGGCAGAGTCCAGAGCAGCCTCGGCATCTGCAGAGTCAGCCTGGAAGGAGGCGCTTGGAGCCTCCTGGGCTGCACCCGACTCTTGGTTACAAACTGGGAGTGCTGGAAAATGCCCTGGGCTCTGCAGGAGGGCAGAAGGGGCCCGGGGAAGGCCCAAGTGCTCCATGCAAGGCAAAAACCTGCCCTGGGCTTGTTATGAATAACTATGTACTGTTGGCTTTTGCTATTATGTATTGGCTTCTGCAAATGATTCTTAATGACAATCATTTTTCTATAGTACAGATTGTAATCACTTTTTACTGCTCTTGCTATAGTCCAATTTGTTCAGCATTTTGTGGCCAGTGCCCTGGCCCCTGTGTAGCTGATATCCTCAGGACATCATTTATGGATGATATTTTAGTTTGTGGACAGTGTGATAAGCATACATTATAGTTTTGGCTTTTGCAAAACATTAAAATGGATGCCATGTGTTGAACATTATAATGTTAACTTGCAGAAGTAGCTGTAGCTGTAGTTGTGAAATAATAACTAATGCTTTTATTTTTGTAACTAACTGACAATAGTAACTCAGAGATATTTGTGAAATAGCTAATGTTGATTTAAAGTACTTGTGGAAATAGCTAAAACCGTCTGCATGGTCAGATAACATTTAAGGAAGGGATGTGATGAGGGCCCTGCCACTGAGCCTTCCACTGTCAATAACTGTCACCTGCTGAAAGCACAGAACAGGGGCCCTTGTGAGGAAGTGACACACAGCCCTCACAACAACAATCCACGATTCCTGCACGTTCTCTAAAACGGCAGGTTGGGGGGCAAACTCACGTAAGGAATTCCTGGAACATGTAAACGAGTTCAAAGAAATATATGAATATTTATCATCATTATGAATATGTATTTGACCAATGCAGTGGGAAAAGCAGCTAAGAAGAGTTGCTGTGGTTAACCAGTGTGCCTCTGGCCATCGTCAGGCACCCAGCACTGTTGATGATTTGTCTCTACTTATCCTTTATTAAACTTTTAAAAATTCTAAAGAGTGAGGCTCATTTCTCACAAAACCCAATGTGATCAACCCTTGTTGCTCCCTCAAGCCAGGATTTGTCAATCCTAAACTTTATCTGCAGGGAAGATAATGAGGGTTCAAGCGAAAGCAAACGCACTGGAGTGGAGACCCAGGGGCTTAACATCAGAGTCTGAATCCCCAGCTGTGGAATGCAGGTCCCAAAAATGAAGAGATGGAAGATAATGAGGCTTCCAGCGAAAGTAGACACACTGGCGTGGAGGCCCAGGGGCTTAACATCAGAGTCTGAATCCCCAGCTGTGGAATGCAGATCCCAAAAATGAAGAATAGGTTTCAAGGTTATGGTGAGAAGCTTGCTTCTCACAGAGATCTTTGCAGGCACATGCTGATTTATGTAAAGTTATGTTACCCCATTGGCCCCTTGGCCTAATTAGCCCAGTTCAACCCCTGTTACCCATCTCTGGTTAGTCCCTGGAATGTTCTCCTCTCTCTGTCCCTCCACTGGCCCCAGTTTACTGCATTCCTCCA